GCCAGCTGAGCTATTCTGACTCGGACTGTGGTCAAAGCAATTAAGTCATCTTTCATCTGTGGGTAGTTTGATGTGCCAAGATCCAGAAATATCATTTGTTATCATGTTACCATTTAAAAGAAAGCAATTTGCATACTACTTAAGTGCAAAACAGTGCTTCACTGGTTTTTGGTTTGGGGTTTTGCTTTTCTCCAGTTCTGTGTATTTTCTAGCTGCCAGTGCTGATGTTACAGCTTTTCTTCTTTTAAAGGCATCTCTTGTTTTATAATTTTTTAAAGATATGATACAGATCTAGATCATATACAGATATAGATATGTTGAAAATAATTTCAGAGCAGAGTGAGGGGAAAATCTTTTTTCTAAATGATTACTGGTCCTTTTTTTTTTATGGATCCTGATCTTAGTGCAGCTGTGAAGACTGGCTTTTAGTTGTAGCAGTTCTAAAATCAATCTTTTGTCTACTTCAAATGCCAACAGAAGAGACGATAATCTCTTTAAGGAAAGACTTGAAGAGATTTGAAAACAATTAACTGAGTGAATAAAATATGCTAAATAATGTGGGATGGCAGCTCAGTTGGTGAAGTGTTATGCAAGCATGAGGACCTGAGTTCGATCTCCTGGACCCATGGAGGGACCCCCTGGAGCTGCCTGGCCAGCCAGCCTAGCTGAATTAGTGTGCTCCAGGCCTGCTGAGATAACTTTTCTCATAAAATAAGGTGGGAGTGATTGAGGAAGAAATTGACATCTCTGGTACACACAGGAGCACACATGAGCACATACACCTGCACAGACATGAACACACATACGTGCACACATACAAGATGTGTCAGAAAATATATTAAAAGGAGTTGGAAGAGTAAAAGGTTTACTGATGACAATGTATCTAAAAAAAGCATTGATTCTCAGTGAGTGTGACCATCACAGAGGTGACAGTTTAGAGTCATGGGGGGGGGGTTGGAAGGCAAAATAAGAAGCAGAGCCCTACTATAAAAAGTTTTTCAGGGGCTGGAGAGATGGTGGTTCAGCAGTTAAGAGCACTGGCTGCCCTTACAGAGGACCAGGGTTTAATTCCCAGCACCTACACTGTGGGTGGCTAACAACCATCAATATGTCCTGTTCCAGGGGATCCAATGCCCTCTTCTGACCTCCACGGGCATTGCATGACACATTGTACCTACCTACATGTAAGCAATACACTCATATCAATAAAATAAAAATAATAAATAAAAATGCGTTCTTAAAAAATTTTTTTCAGTCTATCTTTGAAGAGTCCTGCAAGGTGAGATTGTGTCAGTGCACATTATCAAGATGAAACATGAGGCTTCATTTTTATGAGGGTAAGCAAGGAGTTCAAAACACACCAGAAGGAGCAGACTCGAGAAAACTCCTGCCTCTATGAAGCTCGTCACAGTAATTTTGTAACCTAATTTAAGGTAAATGGTGATAAAATCTATTTAAATATTCCTGAAAGTTTTAACTTGATTCAGCTCATGGCAGTGCAATTCAACTCAGTTCCATTAGAGAAAAATGTAGCAAATACTCAATGATAACTCATGGGGATATCTTTCTTTAACTGTCTTAATAATGTATTATACATGGGGCATATATAATTAAACATCCTTAATCCTAGCATTCGGGAGTCAGAGGCAGGCAGATCTCTGTGAGATCAAGGCCAATCTGGTCTACATACTGAGTGCCTGCTGGCTTGGGCTAGGGAGCCCCTGTCATATATATATATATATATATATATATATATGTTTTATTTGTGAATGCAGTTGCTTTTTTATGATCAAGAAAGGACTTCTGAATGAGCTGTTTTCATTGTTCAGAGGTCCTGGATTTACAGAGGTATAATAGTATCATAGGACCTAACTGAAGCAATCCTGAGAGGGCAGTACTTCCCTGTCAGTCCCTCTGCCACAAAGTAATGCTACAGATCTGAATTTGAAAACATGGTTCTAGTAATATGAGTATCTGCTGTATTCCATATATTTTTCACTGGCAGCCATGATCTTCCCAGACTAAAGGTAATTTTGTACTAATGTTCAAAAGCAGTTAAATTTGATCTTTTTCTTGTATTCAAGGACAGACACTTTATCAAAATCCCTCATTCTTCCCGACTCTGTCTTCACTCTATTGTTCTTAAATTTTCATACACAGTTTACTTCAGGAAAGAGCTGGAAAATAGTCACACTGCAAACTTGTAAGGACACAAAGACACTGATTGTGACAACCAGTCATTAAATAGACAAAGAGATATTTCTTAAACTTTAATTTGATACTGTAACAGTGGGTTTTATGGATTCTACCATTTCCTCAAATGGAAAATGTCATTCCAGCCCTTCACACCGTTGTAACTCTGAAGACTTTCGTGAGAGGGTATTGAATGCCTTTCTGCATCTCAGTTCTCCCTTATTTATCTTGTTTTCATAGAAATTTTACTTTACTTTGGACTGCAAAAATTACACACTTTGTGGGAACTGGAGGGATGACTCAATGGTTAAGGGCCCAGGTTGCTCTTGCTCTGCACAGAACCTGGGTTCAATTCCCAGTACCCAAGTCATGGCTAACAACCATCTATAACTCTAGTTCCAGGGGAATCCAATGCCCTCTCTGACCTCCATGGGCATTGTGTGACATGGGTGCACTTACATACATGTAAGCAATACACTCATATACACAAAATAAAAATAATAAAATATTCTTGAAAACAAAAAATTACATACTTTATGTCTTAAAGAGAAAAAAATATTTGCTGTCATAGTCTACAAATCCTGCTCAGGGACATGGCTTGCTTTGTGGCTTGCTCCTTTCGGGGGCACAGAAGCAGGTAAAATAATTAAATGATTGCTTCCTAAAAATGATTCAAACAAGATTTTCATGGGGAAAAATAAATCAAAGTACATGGCTGACACAATTTGGCTTTTTAGCCTTACTTTTATATTAGAGACTTTGTGAGGTCATGGCATCTAGATTCTCATCCCATTTTCTGATTAGTCAAAGCATGTGGACAAACAACCATTTCCATTTCTCTCATCTTCTATTTCTTTTTCATTCATTACTTCTTTTTAAATATTTTAGTTATTATTTTTATTTTATGCGTGTGAGTGTATTGCCTGCATTTATGCGAGTGCCCCCGTGCTGTGCAATGCCCACAGAGGTCAGAAGAGGGCTCCTTCTAGAAAGCAGGGGGCTGTCTTTGCATCCTGGGATAGAGGTCTGTTCCTTTTGCCTCAGTGGGTCCCCAGACAGATTCTGAGGATGTCCTAGAAAGGAACAGGGCTCACATAGAGTGGAGTCAGAAGGATGAGGGATCACAGATTGTGAAGGCACAGGTCGGAAGTAACCATCAGGGTGTCTATTGAGACAGTCCTCAACTTCTTGGCCTCTGGCCTGTTGAAGGGATGCTGTTCATTTTCTTCCAGTGCAGGGCAGAGGAAGGGAAAGGGGTTAGGAATTCTAGATCCCTAGAGAACATGTTAAAATGCCAAGTCATAGACCTATCCCAGACCTCTGCCTAGGCTGGCGCCATGGCACTGAACCTCTAAATCACCATTCAGAAATACTGTGCGTTTTCCAGAAAAACTTGCAGAAGCTATTCCCTGTGGTCACAAGGTTCTGGGGCCATCTCTCTGGCCCCCAATATTTTTAAACATTTGTTTTTATTATTTTTATTTATGTGTATGTGTGTGTGTGTGTCAGTGAGTGAATGTCTTGTGTGCAGGTGTCCTCACAGGCCAGAAAATATCAGATCCCTTGGAGCTGGAGTTACAGGCTGTTGTGAGCAGCCTGATGTGGGTGCTAGGAAACAAACTTGAGTCCTCTGGAAGATGGTTCTTAACTACTGAGCCATGTCTCCAGGCCCCATCCTCAGTTTCTTAGTACACAAAATGAGTACAGGTTTTTCCAACCTGTAAAATGAATTGTAGTGAATTGTGGGAAAAGAACAGAATTATTTTAGGAAACAAAATTACTGTTAAGCAGAAGTCTTACTGGTTATTAATCCTTTGTAGTGTGTGGATGGATATTGGGTTGTGTGCTTTATGAAAATATCCCAGAATATTTCACCTAAACTGGTCTGGATGTGGAGAATATAATATATATATGCATTTTCTAAATATTTTACTCGATGGACTGTTGAAGAGTCAGAAGAATGATGCCTGTGTAAGGCTTGTGTCACCTACAAAGAGAGAGAACGTGCTGAGCATGTAGATGTATCAGTGAACTTGCTTAGCATGCATGCACAAGATCCTGAGTTTGATCCTCAGGGCCCAGGAAGGCTTGAGAGATGGTTTAGTGGGTTAAGTGCTTGCCACAAAAGTCTGGCAACCTGAGTTTGATCTGTGAGACCCTGTACCCTTAAATACCAAAATGAAGAAATAAATTCATTAATTGATAAATGATTTAATCATTTAAATAAAAATAGAAATTAGATGCCATTTATAAGGGCAAAGATCAGACTTGCTTCCCATTTCTTCATAGTAATAACCAGAGTCCACAGACTATGAGATAAAATAAGCTTAACTGAGAGGCAAAGCTGGTCAAAGAATATTCTGCCCATCAAAGCTGTCCATTAGATGCAAAGGCAAAAGGCATCCATTTCCAAACAGGAACAGACTCAGCATTGTTCTTCCTAGAAGCATTAACTGATACTGAAATCCAGCTAGCTTCACAGAGGATTAAAGTAGAGATCTCGGGATCTGGGAAAAGGAACAACAGGGTTGGATGTCACTTCATTGCAACATAAAACTAAGACTAAGTAACTGTGAGAATACAGTGGGACAGAGGGCAAGTGTGGTAGTCCTCAACAGTTCCTAAATAATAGTTAACACAGAACAAAAGGAAAGGCAGGAGGGAGTGTGATCATTTCCTCATCTTTCACTAACATCAAACAGTATTGATTACAGACTAAATATGGTTTTAGTAACAGCTATAATTCAAACCACTATCTTTTTCTTTGTGATTTTGATAAAAGAAAAACATTTTTAAATTATAATTTTGTTAATGTTGATACCCACTACCTGAGCAGTCTAGTAGTTGGTCCTTTGATTGCATATGATGCAATAATTGTTTCAAGATAGGACTGACAGCAGCCACTGAACTGAATTCCTGTAAGGTCATTTCAGTTTATACACCAAAATATAAAAATCTTCATTAAAAATCACAATTTTTTTATATTTCACTTCTAATTTATTAAGTATAAGTAAAATAAAATAATTTAAAATACATAGGATAATCCTTATTTTATAGGCATTTGTGGTCTCCATTATTCACCTGCATCTGTGCATATAGACATATTTAGATTGACATTCATCTATGATTGAAAAAATAATTTCTAATTAGAGTTGAAGTTTTATAAATTAAAAAATGTTTTTTACTTTATTTTATTTTATGTATCTGAATGTTTTTCTGCAGGTGTGGAAGTGCACCCATGTGGGCATTGCCTCTGGAGGCCAGAAGAGAATGCCAGATCCCCTGGAACTGGAGTCACAGATGGTTGTTAGCTGCCACATAGGTTGCTGGAAACCAAGCCCAGGTACTCTTCTCGCTGTGCCATCTTTCTAGTCCTTGTTTTGCTTTTTAAAATTTTTACTTAAATTTTATAAAAACCTGGATCATTTTATAAAACAATGAATTTAATTTAAATTTTTAATTTACATTTCATTTCTGTGTGTGCTGTATCTATGTGTGTACCTGAGTGTGTGAGTACACATGGCTCAGTACATATACACAGAAGTCAGAAGAATGCATCGCTAGTTTTCACCTTATCCCTTAAGACATGGTCTCTCGATGAAGCTGGACTTTGTAGTTTTTGAGTTAGGCTGGCAGGCCAAGAAGACCCAGCCATCCCCTGTCTGCTCCAACACTGGGATTGTGGTCCGCAAGGCCATTCCCAGCTTTTAGGTAGTCTGTTCTGGCATCTGAACTAAGATCTTCAAGCTTGTGCAGCAAGTACTCTTACTTCCCAAGATGTCTCTGTCTTCTTAATTAAAATTTAAACACTGGAGGCCGGGAATGGTGATTAATATGCCTTTAATCCCAGAGGCAGAGGCAGGCGAATCTCTGTGAGATTAAGGCCAACATAGTGAGTTCCAAGCCAATTTGGGGATATAGGGAGACTCTCCCAAAGCAAAACAAAACAAAGCAAAACAAGAATTTAAACACACACACACACACACACACACACACACACACACACGTTTGGTGCAAGGGACTAAACCTAAGGTCTTACACCTTTTCTGCTACTGAGCTGTATAAAATGTTCCGTTTCGACTTTAACTCACACTGCTTCCTTTTACTGTGGTCTTTGGTTGTGAGCTTTGTGGATTATAGGTTTGGAGCAAAGCATCTTAAATATTTTGTTATTTGAGAGGGGATTGGAAAAGCTGGTAGTGTTTGAGATGCTGAGTACATAATGCAAAGATAGTATTCAAATTAAATACTACACCAGATGCACCCACACCATACGTGTGGATTGCAAATGCTGCTTATTGTGTGTTATGCATATTATGATTTCCTTTGATACCTAAAACTGTGAACCTTCATTAGAATATGCAATATTGTGATTCCAAACTCTTAACTCCATGTTGTTAAAATTGTATATATTAGTGTCTGATATTTGAAAAAAGGTTCTGTGAGTGTTCCAAATGGGATTTTAAAAGGGTTAATTCAATTTGAAGTAAAAATTATTATTTATGGTGTGAACATGGAAATGGGATTTAAAATTCAATGTAAGTTTTGGAGAAAACAAAGTCATTTTGGAATTTTTGATAGGTGTTAATTGACAACAATATATTGTTTAGACTTTTGGAGTTTCACTTAAAATATTAAGATCTGGAGTAAAGGAAGAATGTGTTATCTTTGTTCAATGACAGCACCCTGTTCTCTATTGCCACCAGGATGTGCTGATCACCGAAATATCCCCCAGTTGTACTGCTGTGTGTTGGTTATGCCAATCTACAGCTTTTCTGTCCTAGTGATTTCATGAGTAACTTTTACTTTCCTTTAAAATTGGTTTCACCTTTGAAATTCTTTTCCTCTTTCATTTGTGTTTTTTTCTGTAATATTTTTACTTTTCCCTGGTGTGAATCTTGAAATAGGCATGAGGAAACTGAATTGAAAGACCAGTCCCTTGTATCCGGCACCCTCAGTGTACAAGCACTGCACTGCGCATGTGTGACACAAAGGTAAAAGACACAGACCTTATCCTCAGAAAGCCCACACTATGGGAGGTGGGGAGATGAACACATGCATCAGCTTTACATCCATTCTGTTTACTTGTCTCTGCATTGAAAGTATTTCCCAAAGCAACAGCAGGTTTGAAGGATGATCAGACAGACATTCATTTTTTTACTTAATACCTGTGAATTGGACTCCAATTAACTCAAGTTAAAAAATAAAAGGAAATGATACCCCGTGAAGTTGTGCTGTGGACAGTTTTGATAAATGTAATCAATTGAGAGAAAATTTCTGAAACTAGGCTGCTTTCTGGCACATTATTTCCTTGATAATAACCAGCTTTTCTCTACCTCCCCTAAAAATATATTTGCAAACTAAGTGTAAAGCACATGCCAGTAAATGTATATGTATTAAAGCACATTTTCCTTTGATGTGGTTTTTTTTACTTATCTCATACCTCATATTCTTATATGTCAATCTACATTTATCTCTTTCTCTACTGTCTTGCATTTTCAGTATTTTCCTTCTTGTTTGTACATCATCTTGATACTACCCCCTCATTTCTTTCTACTTTGGACTGAAACACAACTGCCCATGTTTTTCAAGTTCTTGGAAGCCCAGGGTCAGAGCACGCACTCCTCCTGCAGTTTGCAGTGGCCCTGTTCTTGCTCTTTCCTGAGAGGCAGAGATGGACCACAAAGATCTCCTTATGGCTCCCATTTCTCAGGACCTCATACACACTTCCACCACTCCCCTTTCATTTTGGCATTTCCAGTAGATCTAGGTATCCATCAGTCACTCAAACACAAAACAAAATTAAAACAACAAGAACAACAACAACAAAACCCAAAACTTCCCTCATGCCTATAACATCCACTAACTAACCTCTTCTATCTACCTTTGTCTTTAGTATCAGGTTTCTTGGAGAAGAGAAGTTTTGCTTCTTCTGTATATTTTGGTTTGCATTTAGTCCTCCAGACACTGCAGATTCATTAATTCTACTCACTCTTGATGAAACTGATTTCACTAAAGACAGTTATGATATCTTCATTATGAAATCCAACAAGTACACAGCAAAGAATCTTACTTGAGGGCTGATGAGATGGGTCAGTGGGCAAAGGTGCTTGCTACCATGCCTGACCACCTGAGTTCAATCCTGGGACACCCATGGTAGAAGGAGAGAAGTAACTTGCACAGGTTGTCCTCTCTCTCTCTCTCTCTCTCTCTCTCTCTCTCTCTCTCTTTTTCTTTTTTCTCACACACACTTTAAATAAATATTAAAAAATTAAAATCTTATTTGGCCTCCCTGCTTCATTTAAAAATAGATTTTTGTGTAGCTTCATCCTCATCATACTGACCAGTTTGCTGTATTTCTACCTCACTTTTCCATTGTGTGTGTGTGTATATATACATATATGTATGTCTATGGAACAGTAATAATATATATTCTTCTTACTAGAGCTTTGGTTTCTTTCCCTGCCCCTACATGTTTTTTTGTGTAATCTATAGTACCTTTTTATTTTTGTTTTTGTCTAACAACCAGCTGCTTGTGGAAAAGAGAAATCTAACTTTAGAAATTAAAATATACTAACAGTGACAGTAGTAGTCAGAAGGGTATGAGCAACCCTCAAAATTAGCAGGTCACAGAATTTCTTCACAGGATCCTCTGGCCCAGTGTAGGGGAGGTGAGCGGGGGAGCTGGCTTAGGATACTTTCTCAATCAGGGACTCTTAGAATGCCACTATTTTCAAAATAAAGGCTGCAAAGTGATTGTAAAGAGGAAAATGTTTAGATCAAAGCACAACTGCTGATTGGATACATGGGTCTGGAATGACCTGTCAGTTCTGCTCACATTCATCAGCCAGACCAGTCATCCACTTTCTTTAGATGCAAAGTAGCTGGGCCCTTGATGTGAGCAAAGTTCCCAGAAAAAAAATGGCATCTTGAAACTGAGCATTATGGTTCCTGCAGTTATATCTAGATGCATATTCACATATAAAGATTTGGTGCTAGGATCCACATATGAGGGAGAACGTACGTCGTTTGTTTTTCTGAGTCTGTGTTACTTCACTTAGTATAACAGTTTCTAGTTCTATCCATTCACCTGCAAATTTCATGATTTTGTCTTTCTTTACCGCTGAGCAGAAGAACTCCATTGTGTAAAAGCACCACATTTTCATTATCTACTAGTCAGTTGAGGAACACTTAGGTTGCTTCCATTTCTTAGCTATTGTGAAAAGAGCAGCAGCAAACATGGATGTACAAATGTCTCTGAAATAGGATGAGTTCTTTGGGTATATGCCAAGGAGCTGGTATACCTTGGTCAAATGGCAGGTTCGTTTAAATTTTTTCAAGAGTGCCCCACACTGCTTTCCGTAGGGGTTGCATGAGTTTGCAATCCCACCAGCAGTAGATGAGTGTTCCCCTTTCCCCACAGCTTCTCCAGAATATGGTATCACTTGTTCTCTTGATCTTAGCCAGTCTCACTAGGGTAAGATGAAATTTTAAGGTGGTTTTAATTTGCATTTCCCTAATTACTAACAATGTTGAACAACTTTTAAGATGTTTCTTAGCCATCTTTATTTCTTCTTTTGAGAACTCTCTGTTTAGATCCTTAGCTCATCTTTTAATTGGGTCATTTGATTTCTTGATTTTTTGAGTTCTTCATATATTCTGGATGTTTAACCCTTGTCAGATGTGTCCTCGTTAAGATTTTCTCCTAGCCTGTTGGTTTTCTCTTCTCTTCTTTGGTTGTTTCTTTTGCTGTACAAAAACTTTTAGTTTAATGAGGTTCCACTTATTAATTCTTTACCTTCATACTTGAGCAACTGACGTCTGATTTAGAAAGTCCTTCCTACACCTCTATCTTGTAGGATATTGGTGATGTTTTCTTCTAACAATTTCAAGTTTCACAT